GTGTGTGTGTGTGTGTGTGTGTGTGTCTACAACTGATTTATTTTAGATTCAACCTGAATCAAGATGGCCGCCACAACAAAATGACTCTATATCAGTCAATTTTAAAGGAATTCAGTTAAATGTCCGTGTGGTAGTAGCTGAGACTGACCTCCATCTTTTACTCTGAGTTCTGTCTCATAACAACATCTGTGCTTAAAACTTTGCCAATAACTATTGAAATCAGTTTAATTTGTCTGTTAGCAAAATATCTCAGAGACAACTGAAAAGATTTTAGTGAAACTCTCAGAAAATAATAATTGAACAGACATGTAAAATTGATTAATTCCTTAATTTAATTAATTCAAGATGGCCGCCACAGCCAACTGACTTCAGGAAACAGCAACATGACTATAACTCAGCCAGTTTGACAGATGTTGAGCTGACAGTTGTTGTGGTAGTAGCTGAGCATCCTACTCAACACATACTTTGAGTGAAACACATTGTGCAACATTTTTGAATAAAACCTTGATATAATTTGTTGGAGTCAGTCCTGTTTGTCTGTTAGCAAAATATCTCATAAACCACTGAACAGATTTCAAAGAAACTTTCAACAATTAATCTTTGGATTAATTATTGAAACTGATGACTGTTTGGAGTCGACCTCATTCAAGATGGCTGCTGCAGCTAATTGACCTCAGCCAACACAGAAGTGTCTTTACCTCAGTGAGTTTTACAGACACTGAGCTAAAATGTGGTGTGGTAGTAGCTGAGAGTCATTCACAACATTCTTCAAGAGCTAAGTAATCATGTCAGATTGTTCAAGATATCACAATATCTCTGGAGATTGAACATCAAGTTGGTTTCTAAACTTACATGTTTTATTCTTTATTCAGTTTGTGGAGGTGCAGTTTGTCAGAGATCAGCTGTTCTTCTCTGAGCTCAGCTCTGAAGTCCAACCCCTCCCATCTGACAGAACTGGACCTGGATGGTAACAACCTGCAGGATCCAGATGTTCAGCAGCTGTTGGATCTTGTGCAGAGTCCAGACTACAGACTGCAGACTCTGAGGTCAGTAGAAGGTTGGAGTCGTTCCTGCTGCTTTCAGCAGAATTGGACTAAAGCCGGTTGTTGTCAAAGCAAAGATCCAGTGTTTCCAGTAAACCTGCAGCTTCCCAGTAACCGTATTTCTGAATGAATGTATGAGAGGAGAACAGGGACTGGTTTCAGGATCAAACAGAAAGACAAGAAAAGAAGGAAAGAGCGAGCGTTACTTGAAGGAATGCAGATCACTCACCAAAATAACATGTCATGTGATCATGTGATGTCTCAGCTGATCTGTTAGTGCTTGGAGGATGTTGTGAATGACTGTCAGCTACTACCACACCACATTTTACATCAGGATCTGTCAAATTCACTGACTTACACATATTTATGTCTAGGCTCAGTTTGATTAGCTGTGGCAGCCATCTTGAATTGTGTTGACTCCAAAAGTTAATCAGTTGAAGGTGAACATTTCAGATTTATTTAGTGCAAGTTTAAATAAAGTCCATCCAGTGGTTTATGAAATATTTTGCTAACAGACAAGCAGGGTTGACTCCCAACAGTTACCAAGTTTTACCCAAAGATGTTGCACAATGTGTTGTGATTTGTGTTGGTCTCTCTGAAAGACTCATTTATCTCTTCTGCTGCTTCTTCTTCTCTCTACAGATGGAGGTGGTGACGTTTGTTGTGGAGAGCTGAACATGATGGTGTGTTTGTGGGAGAAGATGAGCTGTGTCCTGATGATCCACAGAGGTTGAAGCAGCAGCAGCTTGTATGCAGACACTCTGACTGGACTGTTTCTGCTTCTTCTGTTTCCTCATCCACACTTTACATTATCACCTTCAAACAATTACACTTTAATGTTTGAACAA